TTTAAGATGAGAAAATTATAGCATTTCCCCCCTGACAGAAATGACCCAGTAGGGAGAGATTTTCAGTTTAACTCTTTATCATCAAGACCTGAGTAGATAAGACCCAGGCCAGTATTTCTGATGGTAGGAAAAAAGGTCTAATTCTTGGCATCTTCTATGAAATGGGCAGGCTGGGAAACAGCCCTTTGCAGCTGGTTCAGCAGCCTGACAGCATGAACCTACTAGTGTGGGCAGGATGGTGCATGGCGGGGAGTGGGAGATTGGACCCTACAGACACCTCTCCCTGCTTCACACCAATGGAGATGCTCCCCAGGAGCACAGAAATGAGGTGCAACCCACCCTAACATGTCTTATATCTACTTTGTATTTCCACCTTTTCTTTTTTTTTTTTTTGCTTTAAGTCAGCCATTTAATCCCTCTGTATGTGTTTAATACCCCCTAATCTTAATCTAATTCCCCCTTTTGTCCAACTCACTTTTGTCTTACTTAGTTTTCCAAGTTTTCCAGATATATGACGAAAGGTGGTTTTCTAGTTACAAAGTTCTCTTTATTCCTGCTAGTGTTGGTTTCTCCCCCAACTCCCTGCCTGCTTTTATAACTTTCCTTTCAAATTCAAATCTCAGTGGGACCTAAACAGCACCTTAGCATCTTCCCTGCTACATCTCACTAGAGACTCCCCTAGTTAACCAGAGCTGGGATTCCTCTTACACAGGTGGCTCATTGGGGCCAACCTTATGTTCCCTGTGGGTGAAGAAAGCAGGTAGGTTCATCTACCCATCCATCCATCCAATTAATATTTATCTAGTACCTACTCGGTGCCAGGCATTGTTTCTGGCACTTGGGGATTCAATAGGGAACAACACAGATCTGGCTCCTGCCCTTAGGAATATTCTATTGTAGTGGAGGAGAAAGATAATACACAAGAAAATTGAAATCCAATGGCTGTGATAAGTGCAATGAAGAAAATGCACAGGATGTTGTGACACAGGATAACAGGGAAAGGAAAGGAGGGTATTTTCTTTAGATAGGGTGGTCAGAAAAGGCTTCTGCATTTAGAATCCTTTCACTTCCCCCACCAAAAGTTACACCCCCTTCCTGGTGAGGTGAGTGGGGCCATGGCGTCCATTGTGTTATTTGCCCCCAGATGATCCAGAGCCTCTCTGTGAAGTGAGAGTGAGATCTGATATTCAACTGTGTTTATCTAGTCTGAGGGAAAATTAGGAGAATTTAGCAAGAATATTCATCTAATAGAAATGGATATTGGCAGTTGGGGTATTTTCCCTCTGGTGCCTGGGGCCATCTGGCAACTCATGAGCTTTTTACATGTTTCCTTTGGTCCAGGAACTCTGCCCTAAACATGGGGAAATAAAAGAGCCCTGGACTGGAGGTGGGGGCATTGGGGTTCAACCTGAGGGGAAAAAGTAAACATTTGATTGAATATTTAGAAATCTCTATTGATTATAAACACTGAGTAACAAATCAGAAGGATTTTAATTACAAAGGGGACTATGAGTTAGCATAACCTGATGGTGACTTGTCCAAGTGGGCATTAACAAAATTGCCTCCCTCCCCAAAGTTACGTAATAGCAAGAGTGACCTGCCTGACCAATGCCAGCATTCATAATTCAACAGCCATCATATTAAATAATGTCAAGGGGAGAATAATACTTGCATGACAGATAACCAAGTGTCAGTCAAAATGAACATGACGGTCCAAGATAGGTTGAAAATTCAAATCCAGAACAATGAAAGACATTTGCTGCAAGTAGAACAAGAGCCTCATGAAGGGCATGAAGGAAAAGTCCAAGAAAGGAACATTTTGAGAAAGAGCCTCTTCTAGTTGAAGTTACCAAGGCCCCCACAGGTATGGAGAAGAAACAATACTTGTGATTTTTAAGCACTTTCTACTTTTCAGCATATGTAATTAGTGCTTCTGAATGGAGGAGAGTGAAGATGGCCAGTATATCTGTGTAATTTAAAGAGTTAATTTGGGTTCAAGCTGATAAATATTCTGGGCTGACACGGATCTCAGTCCTCTCCCTGAAGTGCCACTTCATGCAGCCAGGGCTTCTCCTAGCCCAGCTGGGTTAGATGACAATGAAGGCAGTACCTTCTAAAAGTTTACAATTCAGTTCAATCCACCCTAATCTAACCATGGGCTCACAGTGGGTAAAATTACTCCTTCCTGCTAAGTGAGGCTTAAATCTCTCCAGTGTATTTCTACTTGGTTCCTTATTTCATGTAACTCGGGTCATGTTAGTCTTTATAATGGTCCTAAACCTTAATCGTTCCCATCCGTTCAATATTACATGGTAATTTGGTCGTGAAAGAGTACTAGGCTAGGAGCCAGTTGGATTCTAGTCCTAGCTTTGTCACTAATTAGCTGTGTGACTCCAACAAGTTTGTTCATCTCAGTCTTGATTTAAAATCTTGTCCTCTCAGATTAGCTTTCTCTAGTCTTCTTTGACTTCCACAATAGGTAGAAGACCTATTCGTCTTCTAGGAAGGAGAGGAGACAGCTCTAGGAAAGTGCTTTGGGACTTCATACCTAAGGAAGTGAAGGCAGAGATGAAGTAAAAGGAAGGAAAAAAGTCCTCCTCTCCTTGACCTAGATATACAAACCGTCCTGCATCTTGATCTGGCTTTTTCTTCCCACCTGATACAATGAAAGATATATCCCTGCTCCTAGAAAAACCCAGATCCTCCATCTGGGCTCTGGATCCATCATCTCCTTTCTCCTCTCAAATATCCTTCTCTGTTACCTCCTCTCTGCCCTCAGCTCTCCCGCTCTTGGATCAGTCCCAAAGTATACAAACAGGTTCTTGTATGTCCTTGAACTCTTCCCTGGCTCCATATGCCCTGTGGTTACTGCTCCATTCTCAGCTCCCCATTGAGCCTGACTTCTTTAAGGAGCTATCTACATAGGTTGTCATGGCAAACCCTTCAACATGATCCCCTGTGGCCCCTTCTTTGCTATATTCTTCCCTTTCTCATTCTCCCATATGCTTACCTCATGACCAAATGTTAAATAGTCATAACATTATGTGTACTTATGTTACATGATTATGCCTAACTGGTCCCCACCTTTGAGTACAGAAGTGTAATTTGAGTATTTTTTTCTTCTATGATTTTTTGTACACCCTAGAATTAATAATTACTTTTTAAAAACATTTACTTAATTTTCCATGCCCTATTACTATTTTTATCCCAGTGACCCAATAGCATTGTAAACCACCCTCTTAATATTTCCCATACTTTGAATCTATTCCATTATTTTTTTCCCCCTGGAGACCTCCTTCTGGAAACCCTCCTCCTTTGGCTTTAATCTGAACCTGTTTTTCCCTAGGCCTGCTACTCAGATGTCATCTGGGGGCCTTCACTTGACTGTCACTTGATGACATAAATATGGTTCAAGGGGCACCTGGCTTGCTCAGTCAGTATAGCATGCGACTCTTAATCTCAGGGTTGTGAGTTCAAGCCCCACAATGGGCGTGGAGCCTACTTGAAAAAAATATGGTTCAAGACATTTTATCTGGCAGCCTTTTGTGGGATATATTGGAGCCAGGAAAGATGGTAGTGGTAAGACTAGTTCAGAGGAATTTTGAACGAGCTCAAGCTTGAGGTAATTAGAACTTCAACTGTATGCTTATGAGTGAGGCATAGTCTCCTTTCTGGTGCAGTGATAGTATGTCAATAATAATAACACTAATAATAATAATTACTATTATTCCTATTTCGGTCAGGGTTCAATCATGCAAGTGGAGTTACTCTGAGTATTACAGAATAAGAGATTTATTTTGTAACTAGACTTTACACAACTGTGGGAGGCTAGCAGAAGTAGAAGATCAGAGGATTCACCAGCTAGTCAAAACTAGAAGCCAAGCAAGTCCAAACACTGAAGTGAAATCATGAAGGGGATGGGAGAAGTCTGGGGGGTCTTCAGCCTCATATGTGGTGATGGCTTGGAACCCTTGTTGGCCAGTAGGGTCAGCAATCTGGAAGAAGAGCTGGGTGGGGGGCAGGCAGAGGAGAGCCAGGATAAGCTGGACCTCACTGGCATCTCCGTATCTCTCTGTCAGTTCTACCAACTACCATGACCTCCAGAGAGCAATGGCTACTCCTTCTCTTCTGTACAAGTACCTCTTTTGACCAATTCTAAACAGGAACCATTTAGATAAGGGGAACAAAGTTCCAGCTTAACCCAACTGACAACCAGTTATAATGGACTGAACTGTGTCTCCCTTCCAAAATGTATATGTCGACATCTCAAGCCCCGGTACCTCAGAATGTGACGTTATTTGGAGATACAGACATTTTGAGGATGTAATTAAGGTTCAATGAGGTCATGAGGGTGGGCTCAATCCAGTATTACTGGTGTCCTTATAAGAAGAGATTAGGATACAGATACAGAGGAAAGACCCTGTGAAAGCACACAGAGAGGACAGCCATACACAAACCCAAAAGAGAGAGCTCAGAAGAAGTCAACACTGCCAACACCGTGATCTCAGACTTCTAGCCTTCAGAACTATAAGGGAAGAAATTCTGTCATGTAAGCCACCCAGTCTGTGGCACTTTGTCATGGTAACCTTAACAAACTGATACATGGATCAATCTAGGACCATGCCTTCAGTTTGTATATTCTTTACACATAGCAAAGCATTTCGGCATAATAATAATAGCAAATACTGATAATTATAGCTGACATCGTATAGAGTTACTGTGTGCTAGGCATTGTTCTAGGCACTTTACCTATATTAACTAACTCACACAATACCCTCGTGAGATAGATACTATTATTTTCATTCCCATTTTACAGATGAGAAAAATAAAGATATTCAGCTATTTGCTTGAAGTCATACAACTGGTGAAGATTAAAACCAAGACTCAAACCCTTGGCTCTGGCCTCCCTGGCCAGACACTTCCTTCCACTTGCATAGTGTCACCTGCTCACACACACAGATCTCAGGCTCAGTCTTCCCTTCTGTGGGTCATGGACCTACCTTCCTTGTCCTCTTGGTGGATTTCTGCTTTTGTTCACAGGGAAAATCATCCAGGAAACCTGTGTATGTTTCCCATGACACACACAGGGTCACAGGCTTCCCTGACCACAGGGCTCTAACCGCAGGTCCAGATTTCCCAGGGAGGAAAGCCTCAGACCCAGAGTGGTGGGGTCATCATGTGATATAGGATTGTTCAAATAGCAAAAAAGCACCAGGTAGTCTACATTGCATTCTGTAATAAAATTTGATCTCTAAACCACTTCTCTTGGCAGTGGTCAAAATAGTTCTCCTGCCTGAGGTCATGTGATTACTCAGCAGATTTCAGTTCCCAAGCAATTCTAGGAATTGTCCACTTCACTCTCAGAAATGACGTATCTCAAAAAAAAGAACAGAAAAAGAAATCATGTATCACTGAAACCTCTCTTGCTTGTACCAAAATGCACTAAAGTCTGTTAAGAACTTTATGTCTTTGTCTATGTCTTATGTCTTTATGTATTGACGATGTCAATGATTTCTATTTGGTTCCAAAATGGCAGATTACACTGTAGCCAGAACAAAGAGGCCGCAGGCGGCCATGTGAAAAGCCTACTGAGGCCACTAAAACAGAGACCTCCCTTCTTCCTGCCAATGAGACTGAGTTATAATTACCCACACCACTTCCCAAAACAGTCGGTCACGTTCTACTTGGGGCTTCTGGGGAAAGTTAAATCCTGGTGTGGCATTAGAAATATTCATTTCCTCCGCATGTTAAAAGACTCACCTAATACTTCTCCCTCTCATGTAACAGGGAGATTTAACCCAACCCCACAGGGAAAAATGCTAGATACCAAGCCCTGTGTAGATTAAAATCTAACAATAACAACAATTACTACTACCATTTAATGAGCACATATTATGTACCAGTCACTGTTCTGAATGCTTTACATGGATCTAACTCTCACAACCCTTACGAGGCAGAGACCATTTTTATCTTCATTTTACTGGTTAGGAAATAGAGGTCCAGAGAGTTTAAAGAGAATTGCAGCATGGGTGAACAGTGGAGCTGGAATTTGAACACAGGCCATCTATCTTCAAAACCCTGTTCATAGCCACTACAAGTTCCTATCCTGAAGAAAAAAAGGTGAAAATGAATGATGAGTTTTAGCTACTGATAATGTTTTCTGATTCTGAATTCTTCTCATGTGTGGTAGTGACCATGATGGAAAGGAGAGGAAGAAGGCGTGTGCAAGTTCAGTAGGATGTGATGGGACAAGTCTCTTCCATCTTAAACCCTCCCTCTCTTTCATCTCTAGTTAAGGATAGCTGGGTCCTGAGTGGCCTGAGCTCCACGCTTGAGAGCCTGGCAGAGGGACGGGACAGGCCTGTTTGCTATAGAACACGGAGCCCAGGACTCTCTCGTGGCCAGAGAAGCAGGTAGCTTCGATGGGATGCTGAACCAGCACAGATGTCCTCAACTCCCTCAGAGGGTGTGACCCTCTTCTAAGCTACTGGGTTTTCTTTTCCTGTCCAGCTTCTTAGATGACCTGTTGTATCAGTCAAGGCATATGGTGATAACCTACAGAAGCCAATTCTGGTGAACGAAAGCAGTAAAGTTACAGACTAGAAGAATTTCAAGGACCTCACAAAATATACAGGAAGGCTAGAGAACAAAGAGGAGAAATGAGCCAGGCTCCAGGAAGCCAGGATCAGAGATGCACTCAAGCCTGTGCAGCTGGGAGATTGTCACAGGATGCCTTCCTGGCCACACAGGGCTGGGACACTGCTGGTCTCAGGTACGTCATTCTCCTGCATGATCTCTAGCTCTTGCTGCATCTCAGGGCCAGTTTCTTCAGAAGGTAGAAGGGTCTGATTAGCTGAAAGGAGGTCATTTGTCTGTGGAAACTGTAGGGTCCTGATGGACTGTAGAGATCAGTATATGAAAGCTTGACTGACTTTTGATAAATTTACATAAAATTCCCTGACCTCAAGGTCAGGGCAAAAAATAAATAACCTAAAGTCTGAGAGCAGGGGCCTAGAGATGAGCAAAACAGAGGAAGGACTGGGAGAATAGGTCTTGTCTCTTCATATACACATGACCTTGTAACTGTTCTTGGCCTTGCAAAGCTTGTGGGGAAGAGGGGATTAAGAGGGATTGCCCCAGAGAAAAATCTGCTCTTTGCTCTGCCACTGGCTTTGTTATCCCTGCTTATCCCAGAAATAATACTTGAATCTAGAAGCGGTGTTGATCTAATGAAGGTCTGCTCAGGCTTACTTTCTTTTTAGTTCTCCTGTGACTTACCTGCCCTCCACCCCCCTGCCATGTTACTGTAGCAGAAGTGACACAAAAAGGAGGAAGATGGTCTGATTTGCTTCTCATTTATCAGTATAACCAGCAAAGAAAGGAAGCAAAATTATCTCCTAGCTGGTCTGGAATCACTAAGCTCTCTTAAATCCTGACTTTGACGGGACAGGAATGTTTAAGTGCTTTAACAGTACAAACCTTTCAAAAGACCTATAAAGTTTCTATTATTTTTATTTTTAAAAGGATGTGAATTAGTAACCTGAACGAGATGTGATATTCTATAGAAAAGATGAGAAAAAGACAACTTCAATATTTTTACTTGGTCTCAAATTTTGGCCTCTCATAAGCCCAGAGTTGCTATTCTGGCCCTTAGGACATATTTTCTAGTTTCACATGGTTGAAAATACCAAACACCTTTTTTTGTTCAAGGAAAAATGCATTAATAGTTGCCAGACTCCAAACAACAAATATGACAATTCTCCTTGAGTCAACTAAGCAATATTGATAGATTAAGTATTATGGCTAGTCGAATAACACTAAAAATTAGAGCAAATTCAAGACAATAATTTACTACAAAGAACAAAGAGGGAGAACATTGTGCCATGTGAAGAAGGATGTTTCATGTGAATAGTTATCCCTTTAAGAGATAACTCCAAACCTCATTTACCTGGATTGATTGATTGATTAATTGATTTTCTTTCCTGTTCTCCTCCTCTCTTTTCACTAATGGATCTGATAAACTTACCTACACTAACAGAGTGGTTAAGATCAAGGGCTCTGAAATCAGATAACCTTGGCTTATATTACCTCTAACCTTGGGTAACCTGACTTCTTTGTTCTTGCTTCAGTTTTTGCATTTGTAAAATCATGACAACAATAAGTCATTTTGAGGACTAACAGAATTAAATATAAAGTGCTAATAAAATAAGATAAAATAAAATTGCTAAGAACTCTCCCAAACAGTATAGCTACAATGAACATGCAGGTACATATATCTTTTCAAATTAGTGTTTCCATTTACTTTGGATACATACACAAACATAGGGTAGTTCTATTTTTAATTTTTTGAGGAACCTCCATACTGTTTCCCCCAGTGGCTGCACCAGTTTGCATTCCCACCAACAGCACATAAGGGGTCCTTTTTCTCCACATCTTTGCCAACATGTGGTAGTTCTAGTCCTTTTGGTAACAGCCATTCCGCCAGGTGTGAGGTGCTATCTCATTGTGGTTTTGGTGTGCATTTCCCTGATTAGTGATGTTGACTGTCTCTTCATGTACCTGTTGGCCATGTGTATTTCTTCTCTGAAAAACTGTCTATTCAGATCCTCTCCCTATTTTTAAAATCAGAATGTTTGTTTTTTGCTGTTGAGTTGTATGGGTTCATTATGTGTTTTGGATATTGGCCTCTTGTCACATATATATGATTTGCAAATATTTTCTCCCATTCAGTAGGTTCCTTTTCATTTTGTTGATGGTTTCCTTTGCTGTGCAGAAGCTTTTCAGATTGATGTAGTCTCATTTGTTTATTTTTGCTTTTGTTGCTTTGCTTTTGGTGTCAGTTTCAAAAAAAAAAAAAAATCATTGCCAAGACCTGTGTCCAGAAATTTATCACCTGTCTTTTTTTCTAGAGGTTTTATGATTTCATGTCTTAGCTTCAAGTCTTTAATCCATTTTGAGTTAATTTTTGTGTATGGTGTAAGATAGTGGTCCAGTTTCACTCTTTTGCATGGGGCTGTCCAAGTTTCCCAACAATACTGATTGAAAAGACTGTCCTTCTCCACTGTATATTTTTGGCTTCTTTGTCATAAGTTAATTGACTATAAATATCTGGATTTATTTCTAGGCTCTCTATTCTGTTTCACTGATCTATGTGTCTGTTTTCATGCCAATATCATACTGTTTTAATTACTATAGCTTTGTAATACAGTTTGAAATCAGAGCGCATGATGCCTCAAGCTTTGTTCTTCTTTCTCAAAGTTGCTTTGGCTCTTCAGGGTCTTTTTAGGTTCCATAAAAATTTTAGACTGTGTGTTCTATTTCTGTGAAAAACATCATTGTTATTTTGACAGGGATTGCATTGAATCTGTATATTGCTTTGGGTAGCATGGGTATTTCATGGAATTATTTTGTGGCATAACTTCGGTAATGCTTCCCTTTTTTGTTCCAGATTTTGCTTCACAAGTCCTTTGGGAGTGAAAATGAAAATGGAATTTATACTAAGGACTGACATCTAGAGAACATAAAAGCATGGCTGACTTCCTGGTATGTCACCTCGACAGTTGCACAGGACTCCACACTCAGAAAGTCCCTGTGCCTGATTTAAAGAGGTACCTGATTTAATGTTCATTGAAGCATATCATTAAAGACATTCAGTATGTCTTAAAATTCTCAATAATTTTGAAACAAAGGGTGCTGCATTTTTGTTTTGCAGTGGGTTCCACAAATTATGTAGTTAGTCCTGCATAAAAGCTGTACATGTTCAGTGGGGATATCATTCGTGTCTTACAGCAGGTTAGACCAATGGTTGGCAAATTTTTTTTGTAAAGGACCAGAAAGTAAACATTTTAGGTTTTGTGGGCCAGTCTCTTGCCATTAAGTACTCAACTCGGCTACTCTAGCTAGAGAGCGGCTATAGATAATATGTAAGCTAGTGAGTTTTATACACTTTATTTGCAAAAACAGGTAAGCTGAATTTGGCCCATGGGCTGTAATGTGTCCACCCCTGGGCTAGACAAATGGACTTGATCTTAGGTGACTAAGAATACTGTCAAAGAGGAAAATAGGCGGGGTGGGCAATATTCTAGAACTCTTAGTCATACATGGAACACTTTCAAAATTTTTGCCATAACTACTCATATTATTGCTTTCTAACAGTTAATATTATGCCAAAAAGTTTACATGTAATGGTGCATTTTACAATCCCTCAATGGCCTCATGAATTATGAAGTATCATCTTCATTTTGCAAAAGAAACCAAGATTCAGAGGGTAAGCAACTTGACCAAGTTATACAATAAAGGACTGGCAGACACCCAGAGCCTACACACTCACTATGATATCTTCCATCATCTGTTGGGATGTGTGGCAGGCAACTGGCTACTAGGCATACTTGAAAATACTGACATGTGTAAATGATT